GAAACGTCAGCCTTCCTGCTCCTCTGATGCTGCTTGGCCTGCTGTGTTCATCCAGCTCTACACCTTGTTACCTCAGATTCTCCAGCATCTGCAGTTCCTACTATCTCTTGTTCCTCATCATGTTTGCCTTGGTTTCTACTCTTACTCAACTTGTGCACCCACTGCCCTACTCCTTGGTTCACACCGCCCTGCTACATTAGTTTAAACCCTCCCCAACCACTGTACCAATTACCTCTGCAAGGACATCAATCTCGGTCCTGCCTGGGTGTAACTCGTCCAGTTTGTAAGGGTCCCACCTCCCCCAGAACTGGTCCCAATGCTGCATGAATCTGCAAGAGGATTTGAAAATTAAAGTCAGAAACATAGAAGATAGGAGCAGGGGTAGGTCATTTGACCCTTTGAGCCTACTTCTGCATTCGTTATGATCATGGCTGATCATCGAGATCAATGCCCTAAACCCCCTATCTCTTGAACCCTTTAGCTACAAGAACAATATTCACTTCCTTCTTGTGAACACATAATTTTTAGCCTCAACCACTTTCTGTGAATTCCACAGGCTCACCACACTAAGTGAAGAAATTTCTCATCTCAGTCCTAGAAGAGTTACCCTTTATCCTTAAACTATGACCCCTGGTTTTGGGCTCCCCCACCATTGCAAACATACTTCCTGTATCTAACCTATCTAGTCTGGTTAGAATTTTATGGTTTTTATGAGATTCCCCCATCATTCTTCTAAATTCCAGTGAATATAATCTTAACCAACTCAATCTCTCCTCATATATCAGTCCTGCCATTCCAGGAATCAATTTGGTAAACCTTTGTTGCACTCAGAATATCAAAACCGCACAAAATGTTCCCGGTGTGGCCTTATCAATGCCATGTATAATTGCAGCAGGATATCCTTGTTCCTGTACTTGAATCCTCTTGCTATGAAGGCCAACATGCAGCTTGCCTTCTTTACCACTCGTTGTACCTTTGTGCTTACTTTCAGCAACTGGTGCCTGAGGACATCCACCTACTTCCAGCCTTCAGACAATCCTGAACTAGGATTTTCATGTCCCTTTGTGCCTTAGATTTCTGAAGGTTTTCCCAGTTTAGAACATAGTCTATGCCTCTATTCTGCCTATTAAAGTGCATAACCTTGCACTTTCCAACATTGTATTCCATCTGCTCCTTCTTTTTCCCACTTCCCTTGCCTATCAAAGTCCTTCTACAGCCTCAGTGATTCCTTAACACTATCTGTCCCTCCACCTATCTTTGTGTCATCTGCAAACTTAGTAATGGTGTGCAGCACAGTGGTTCAGTGGTTAGCACTGCTGCCTCACAGCACCAGGGACCTGGGTTTGATTCCACCCTCAGGCAACTGTCTGTGTGGAGTTTGCATGTTCTCTTCCTGTCTATGTGGGTTTCTGCTGGGTGCTCTGGTTTCCTTCCACAGTCCAAAGAGGTGCAAGTTAGGCAAATTGGCTATGGTAAGTTGCCCATAGTATTCAGGGATGTGTGGGCTAAGTGTGCTAGCCAGGCGAAATGCAGAGTTACAGGGTAAGGATAGCAGGATGGGTCTAAGTGGGATGCTGTTCGGAGGGTTATGTGGACTTGTTGGGCCAAGTAGCCTGTTTCCACACTGTGGGGATTCTATGGAATACCCTCAGTTCTGTTGTTAATGTACATGTGACTAGTTGTATCCCAACACTGACCCCTGCAGAACTCCACTACTCACTGACTGCAATCCTGAAAAAGAGCCCATTTATCCCTCCTGTCTGCCTTATGCTAGTCAGTTAATTCTCGAGCCCTAACACCACGGGTTGTTGTTTCCCTTAGCTGCTTCCCGTGCAGAAACTTGTCAAAGGCCTTCTGGCAATCCAAATAGATCCTTTGTCTAACATGCTGGTTACCCTCTCAAAGAATTCTAACAGATTTGTCAGACATGACCCTCCCTTTATGAAAATGTGCTGTCTCAGGCCTGTTTTGCCATGCACTTATAAGTACTCCACAGTGTCATCCTAAATAATGGACTCTTAAAATCTTACCAATGACTGAGGCCAGGCTAACTGGCCGGTAATTTCCCACTTTCTGCCTCCCTCCCTTCTTAAACAATTTATTGTCATTTTTTTAAAAATATGTTCCAACATTGAATTTGGTTTGCTCACTGCCACTGGGCAATAACTTCCCCTTATTGTAAGCTAGGATCCCAAATCTCCTTCATCGTTCCATTTTCTGTTATTTCAAATCTAGTTCAATAAATCCCCTTTTTGAATTTTGTTTTGTCTCCACTCGAAGCATTTGCAGTGCCATGCATTGAATTTTGTTTTGTCACCTGTCCATCCCATTGCTGGGAGTATATTCCAATCCGGAACAAAAACAAAGTTGCTGGAAAAGCTCAGCAGGTGTGGCAGGGCCTGAGGAAGGGTCCTGAGGAAGGGTCACCTGACCGAAACGTTAACTCTGTTTTCTCCTCCACAGATGCTGCCAGACCTGCTGAGCTTTTCCAGCAACTTTATTTTTGTTCCTGATTTACAGCATCCGCAGTTCTTTTGGTTTTTATTGTATATTCCAATTAAACTGTTGCTGAAAAGAAGTAGGAGAGTTCTAGAAATCTGAGATAAAAATCCACTGATATGTCATCAACTTGAAAGCTAATTCTTTCTGTCACCATAGATACTGTCTATCCCGCTGATTATTTGCAGAACTTTTCTTTGTGTATTCATCCTGTTCCGTTTTGGAGACTACGATCTTTGGTAGAAATTAATAGTGTCAACACCTGTCTGTTAATCTGGCCACCGCCTCCCACTAATGTCACAATCCTGCTTTGTTTCCTTTCTGAGGGTTTTCTCTATTCCCTTTTTGCTTACCGCTCAAAGCTATCACGTTACCTAGCTGACTAGGCCCGTGACATCAGGTCATTTCTCGTCAGATCCCGGACTCTTGAACAAAGCTGAGTCACAAGGAGAGCATCAACGCACACTTAGATCTCTAGCCCAATCTAGCAGCAGAGCTTACTTGAAGCTCCAGCCCAAGGAGAGCAGCAACACTCTCTTGGAGCTCGCGGCCCAGGCGCAGCAGCAGCGCTTACCTGGAGCTCGCGGCCCAGGCGCAGCAGCAGCGCTTACCTGGAGCTCGCGGCACAGGGGCAGCAGGAGCGCTTACC